ACTCCATCTGCTGTAACGTAACAACCAACTCCATCTGCTGTAACGGAACAACCCACTCCATCTGCTGTTATGGAACAACCCACTCCATCTGCTGTAACGTAACAACCAACTCCATCTGCTGTAACGGAACAACCCACTCCATCTGCTGTAACGGAACAACCGACTCCATCTGCTATGTAATATAACGGAACAACCCTGGCTGTATTCTGCAGCAACAACAATCAATTTGAGGAACAGCTAATCTAACATTTGTGTAATTTAGTTCTGAAGTGATATAACTAGATTAGGTTTAGCTACTAGTAGTTGTACCTATATGCTGGTGGTAGTACATGTAGTACCAAATCCATAGTCGAAATGGACAATTTAAACTCAATAGCCAACGAATATATAATCTTAGATAATGTAAACAATCTTGTACACACACACATATATATATACATAGATAGAGACAATGACCTGCAGCAATTCATTTATAAAACAAGAAAGAATTGCCAGTGAGTAATCCGTAGTTCCCCAACCTTTGAACAAACTTCTGTATCAGATGTGAACATGGGGCTAAACTTTTGTATAAAGCGGGGAACCAAAAAAAATCATTTTGTAACATTCAGCCACCAAAACAGGTGTTCATATACAAAATTTTGAGATATGCTTCAAGCAACCAAAAAATGTTTAACAAAGGGTAATAACTCTGTTTTCATGGTTGGGCACGAAATCTGATGTCAGTATATATGCAACACTCTGCCATCCCCAGACATAGTAACATACTAATACTGGAATTAGCAGATAATGGCAGAATATACGAGATATGCCCTGGACAAAGTGACACATGAGGGGCAAAGGGCTTTACCCTGTATACAGTTTGGCACAAGACCCATCTTTAATATGTAACACTTCATCATTCTTAAAAGTACTTGCATACAAAAATTTAGCGATTGTAGGTGACAGAGTATGAGAATTGTCCTGTACAAAGCAACACGCGGACTGACTGACGGCCAGAGTGTAGATCTCAAGTCCCCTCTGGCAATACTAGGGATACTAATAATGACTGAGCAATGTAAAAATCTGTTTAAGGGAAATTCAAACAAAGCAATCAGTGGAATTGATAAAGATGACAAACATTTGCTGGATAATTTCACATATTTCTATCGACACAATCATAATAAAATCTTCCCCAAGGACAAGTCTCAATACTTTTTTTTACACTTTTCTAGACAGTTAACTTCATTCAAATTCAGTTTATATATAAATTAAATTCTTTTGGTAGCAAATTGAATTGATATGATAGATATTTTGTGTTTAATGTTAAAATTAAGTTATGTTTACACTGACGGTTGAAAAATGGACACATAATCTCTGTCGACTGATTAACAATGTTTCTATATTGATCACAAATAAGTAGACAGCATATGAATTTTGTGTGCAAAAAACTATTTTTTTAACTTAATATAATTATTGAATTTCAAAAGAAAGATTTTATCTGTACTAAGAACATTTCCACAAGGCTAATGTTTTTTTTGAGCTTTCGAAAACATCGAACGCAAAGTCGATGAAAGGTACTTTATCAACTGTTGTTGTCAGAAAAAAAATGCATCAGACCTCAAAATCTTTATTTATATACTGTTTATAGATGCAATTCCCTGAAGAGCTGATAGGCCTAGAGACTAAAGAAATATTGAATACATTCCAGCAGTTTTCTCAGATACCACAATTTTCCAGTACGTTTCAAGCACTGACTTTAAATCCAGGACATTTCAGGATGTGTATAAACCCTGAACTGAAGTCTTAGTTCTGGGCAACTTACCATGGTCATGGTCATTCTATCAATTTCATGTTTGTCTTTGGTTCTGTGTTGCCTGAAGGGACTATGTCTGTGAAAATAATACAATATCACAGATTGTGAATAGGGTTGGGATTTTTGTAACAGAATGAAGCTACAGTTATTGAAAGCATATGCCTTTGTGAGCCATTCTCTTTAAGGAATCTCATAACTCATGAAATTACTTCATTAACGAAGCAACCAAAATTAATCATTTTAATTCACCAATCAGCACTCATCATTAGAATTCATCCATAACCACTAACCTTTTGAATTACCAAATTATTACACACCCATATTATTGACCAATATGCCTCTTAATAGTAACCAATGAGCTCTCACCTTTAGAATTAACCAATCATCATTTACCCTTATTATTCACCCATCAAACTCACTTTTAAAATTAACCAATCAGCACTCACACTTGGAACTAACCAATTAACACTCCCCTATAAAATTAACCAATCAGCACTCACCCTTTTAATAGTTTGTACAGCATACATCCTAATGAGAACCAGTCAGCACTGGAATCGTAAGGTGTTCCTTTGGAAAGGACCTCAGGAGCCATATAACCATGTGTTCCTCTACATCAAATAAATTAACAAGTTATAAGGTATTCAATTAATCTCTACTCATATAACAAACAAACATTAGCATAAAAAATAAACTTGTTAATTCTTTGTAGGTTCAAACCTTTGTCTTTGACACACTGGTACAAAATACTGGCTGCTTCCTACCGACTCGGCTAGGGAGAATTTCTCTTTAGCTCATTCGGTAGAGCGTAAGACTAGTAAACCAAAGGATCAGGATTCAACTCCTAGTGAAGGCATTGAAAAAATAATTACCTCTGTTACATGAGAAATTCTGTACTGCTTGAGATACTTTCACAAGAATCACTTTGACCCCTTAAATCTTTGGACGAGGTATTTTCTGGAGGGAGATAAAATAATCCTACCGACTTGGCTGGGTAGAATTTCTCTAGCTGATTTGGTAGAGTGTAAGACTAGTAAACCAGAGGTCTAAGGTTCTATTGGCAGAATTGAAAAAAAATATAATGACCTCTGTTACATAGGCACCCTTGTAGGGACAGGACACAAATCATCTTCTTCTTAGTAATAAAACACTTACACACTGGCATGTGGCTTCTTCTTGGAAAAATCACAGGCTAGCCCTAAATCTGATATTCTCACATGGCCGTTTTCATCTAATAAAATATTTGCTGGCTGAAATACGATAAAAAGGTTGAATTACATTATATCAAATCTGTAACAGCACATTGCATGCTATTCTAATTCATGACTCAGTTTGGCAAAACTTCTGTATAAACAGACTGCAAATGATGGTAATCACTAGAAATTGGTTTATGTAGGTTTACAATTTGGGAGAATCCCTGTACACAGTTCATCTCTGGTCAAATATAGCACATAGGTAAAGTAAATAGGGTAAATTTTACCTCTAACGACCATGCCCTAAGAGGTGAACTAGGGTACATTTCAATAGAACCGTGACCCCTTTGCTATTATTAACAGGTAAAATAGTATACATTTCTATTTTTGGGGAGCCATGCCCACTGGGCTAGTAAGTTACACTTAATCGTTTAAAGAACCCCGCCTCCTGTGCTAATAACAGGTAATGTACATTTCTCCTTTTGAGGACCATGGTACTGGGATAGATACAGGTAAAAAAGTGTACAAAGTACATCACTAAGAACCACCTGAAGGACTAATAAGGTATCATCTTAAACAAGCCCCCCCCCCCCCCCCCCCCCCCCCCCCCGGCTAATTACAGGTAAATAAGGTATATTTTATGTCTATAAACTGAAGCCCCTTTGTACATTTCTACCTTAAGAACCATGTAGCCCTTTGGGTTCATAATGAACATTTTCATAATCAATAACCACACCCTTAGGTTTAATTAAAAAAACCAATGTGTGACAAATTACAGGTAAAACAGGTTTTAGTCCAATTTTGTTATTAAGTACTTTGCCATCATAAATACTTTACTTATATTGAAGGCATATTTTGGTCAATACACAAAATATTCAATGTTTTTTCTTCATTTATTGCTGGTAGAAAATATTGAACATTTTCCTGTTCAAAGGAAAGACTGAAACGATTTTTTCAAGAGAAAATAGTGATTTTATAAATACAGAAACCTTTGTCTGGGAGGTGCTAACCTTCAAATCTCTGTATACCACAAACCGGTTGTGCATATGCTCTAACCCTAGGATGACCTCTGCGGCGTAGAAACGGACTTCCCTCTCGGAGAAGACGCCATGCTGGGACAAGTGATAGTGAAGGTCACCTCCATTCATCAAGTCAAGGATAAAGCACAGCTTCTCCGGGGTTTGGAACGCATACGTCATACACACAATGAAAGGGCTGCCTTCCTGCTGGCACAAGTAAACGAAACAACACAAGACACATTCATAGATTTTCTACTGAAAGTGTTGTAATTTATTCATAGAACAAGTAACGATTAGACTGAAAACTTCTGGATTTTTTTTTGTCAGAAACACAAATCATTTACCTAGAGAAAAAGAATTAAAATGGTTTAAGTTTCAATACCAAGCATATGAAAAGAGGCATTCTAGTGCAAAGAAGACATTTTTAGGGTATTAGGTAGACTTTTTTTTCTAATTTAACTTTGTTTTGCTCATATTTACACAACTTCCTACTGTATCAAGTATCATATTCAACATCTAACTGAATACTGTTAAATGAGCGATTATAAAGCATTGTCGATACACATTTAAACCTGCTCATATGACCACCTCTAACACATTCATCCCTTAAGTCATATTTGAACCTTACCAAATCAATGACTGGCCCAGTTCAATTTAAAATTGTAGGGTTGAATGAGTTAAGAGACCACCTGTCCTATGAGACCGCTGTTAGTGTTCCCCATGGTGGTGGTTTCTTGGTGAACTGAACCTGTATTAAGAGACCACCTGTCCTAAGAGACCACTATTAGTGTTCCCCATGGTAGTGGTTTCTTGATGAACTGAACCTGTTTTTAGAGACCACCTATATATAGACATCTTTTTGGACTTCCAGAGAGTTGATCTCTCAACTCATTCACCCCTGAAATTTCATAATGAACTATTCTAACCTTTGAATTGGAAGAGTTCAAATGTGTCTTCAGGGGTGGACGAGTTAATACAGGCTTGACTGTATAATGCATCACAGATTTTGATCGGATATCATGTTTAAAAACATACCCCTGTGCTGACTAGAGATAACATAATCCTCTCATTTAAAGCTAGAGTTTCTCCCTGCTTCATCTTAATCCTCTTCTTGTCCAAGCATTTCATTGCATACCTGAAGAAACATAAGAGAAAAGGTTATAATATTATATATCAGATGATGCACAGTTTTCCTATACTCTCCTAGGTTGGATCCTAATTGCTGACTTATGATACTGACTCGGTCTAACTATTTTAAGAAACAGCATGTCAATATTCACTTAATGACGGCATTTCATGGGAACATCACAATGCAGTACTTTCTCCTGACAATTTTCATAGCTATTACTGTTATAAACGATTTAAACATAATTTAGCGTAGATCTAATATAACAAGAAATAATTTCAATTTTGGTGATTCGTCTCGGTCAATAAAACTTTCTCTTGTTCATAAAACCACATATACACCTAAACATAGGTCCATAAGTGATAAACACAAGTTAATCAGGAGAGATCTAATATGGGCAAAGCCTGTTGTTCATTTCTTTTTTAATTGTCATCGATAAAATCTAATGAAACCTCAATACGTTCAAGTCCAGCAATGTACATTTGTGATTGTTTATTGAAATACATGACCCTGTATAGGCACCAAAACCGATATGCTTTTTTGCCTACATTTTATATAGTTTTCTAGCTTTTTGTTTCCTGTCGGAACTGCAATCCTGTTGAAAAAACCATGATGACTTTCATACGGTGATATGTAATGTATCATTATAAAATTACTGTATTCTTTGACCCTTTGTGTTCATTTTCACCTTTAATCTCTTAGGTTCATTCAAATTTTAAATCAGTAAAATTATGGGATACATTATAAGGAACTGCTGTTATAGCAATAATGACCAAGTACATCAGAAATGAACCTTGATTTAACTCTATACATCTGCTAAGGGAAACCACTTACATTTTGCCCGTATCTGCTTTCCTACAACCATATACTTCTCCGAAGCCGCCTCTACCAATAATCCTATGTACACTGAAGTCATTCATTGTTAACTACAACAAATAAAACACAACGGTTAATATCAGCCCCTTGCAGAGCAATAGTTAGATACCTCTTTAGGTAGAGCTCTACAAAGCAATAACTAAACACCTCTTCCATCAGCATTCTGCAAAGCTTGCTGTATGCAGGGAAACTTTTGCCTTTTTTCGCCCTTCACAAAGAGGGTGAATTAATCATTTAACAGGGAATATAAGTAAACAGCATACCTAAACAGGTATTACATTTTAAGGGTGAAATTAACGCTGGGCGAACATGGATTTTACCAATGACAGGCAACTGTTTGACTGGGCGGCAGTCTGAAGAGCAACAGCTAGACACCTCTTCAGTCTGAACTATGCAGAACAACAGCTAGACACCTCTTCAGTCAGAACTATGCAGAACAACAGCTAGACACCTCTTCAGTCAGAACTATGCAGAACAACAGCTAGACACCTCTTCAGTCAGAACTATGCAGAACAA